TACATCGGTTCCACCCGATGTTATTCGCCTTGTTTTTCTGAATGTTGCGCTCGGGTTGTTGTTGTTGTCCTTCGGTTCAATTTAGTGTATGCAGCCTTGAATTTGGCACGCTGATTGTCATTTTTTTCAACATATGAATGAACCAATTAACCAACAATGATCGATTTATCATTCTGTTTTCGACTATCCATCCAGTCAGCTAACCATACTCGTTACACTGTCATTCCGTACCAAGACAGAATGACTACTGCGCATCCGAAACGATTTTTTCCCGAGATAGTAAAGACCTATCGACAAATGGATCGTGTCGAACTGGTTCGTAAATCATCCGATACTATTATTCTTGGAGTGGGACGGAGCTGACCAGCCCAGAGAAGAAGCCGTTTAAGTTAGGTTTGCTTTTTTTTAAAAATAAAAAAGAACTCCCATAATCGTTATTGTCCTATCGATGGAGCTTTAACCTTATAGATGAGTCATTGTCTACTAGCAACTCAAAATGTGGAGTAAATCCTGATCTGGTCTACTACTTACCACCTCAAGTCGTCTTCAGACGTTAATCGACCAAAAACTTATTACAGGTCATTCTCGAGGTTCTTGGACGTATGTTTTCCGGTTTATGTTTAGACCATCTACATGATGTAGCCATTTATTCGGGAGATAAAAGTGGTAATTGTTTACATCGCCCAAGTCAGGAACTCATTGTTGTTTATGGTATACTCAGCCAGCACTGGTGCACAAACACGCTTTCAGACTGTCTATCAGTTTCATGTACGCATGTGGCCACCTGTTCACTGACCACAACAAATACAGCAGTGAAACATTCCAGGGCCGTTTGGTTCTGTCTCATAGTCCTCAAACTGTTGCAGGTTATACTGAAAGTTGTACCAGAGAGCAAGGGTAATGACAAGTCCAGCAAATGAGAGCACATCACTTCAATTACTGTCTTTATTGTCCTTGTCTTGCCAGTTATATTTAATCTCGTGTTAAATTTGGAAGCTTTCTTCGGAAAGTAAATCTACCTCACATTCCTACTCTACTCATTAGACCGTTTCCCCGGCAAATGAGCTGGTCGCGTCACACCGGTAAGCTCGTTACGAGTTTATAGCGGATGGAAACGTATATATTATGCGAAAAATATCCGCATCTCATAGAAAGAAGCACTGTGTGCCTTAAAGCTCTTTTTCCATTGCTGCTTGATTTCCTTCCAGTGGTACAAAATATGGCTTATGGGTATTAGAAATATCTATATGGTTGTTTCCTCTCGAGGGTTCAAAGTGGTATCTAGTTTGATGTGTGTGTGTGTGTTTGGTGTCTAGTTAGATAGCCTTCACACCCAGATAGTGTGAAAGTTGGAAAAATGAAGAAAATAAAATAGATAATCAGCACTAAAAACGCAGAAGTATTGATGGTGTGTGTAGTAGTTCGTGGTACTTTAGCCATTACTCTTACACTTCCGTAATAAACATTATTCGTCAAGTTCGATTAAAATTGGACAACGAAGTACCTGTGTGGTCAACCCATCGCTTGACACTAAAATGCCTCCAGACTATTTTCCACTGACCGATACAAGAGATACAATTTTTAATACTCTCAAGTACTCCATATTTTTTTATTACACGCCTAAGTGTGATGAGCGGCAGCCGGAGGCTTAGTCATCACACACTGTGACACGGTAGCATCAAGCCAAAAAACAGTGACCAAAATCGGCGCATGGAAATGCATGGTTAATGGTTGTAAAACCAAGGAAGTCGAATCTGCCCACATGTCTTCTTGTTTTGATGGAATGTATAAAGGTAAAAGTATGTTTCATATGTTCTTTTGTTGTTTCATATAGAGATCAGGATGGTAACGTCGGGTTAAATTATACCTACGATATCTAGTTTTTCATTGAACATTTTGGCATCTTTAATGTTGCACAGACATCTGCTCTTCTGTCATTCCAGGCTAGCCTTGCCGAACGTCTCATCGATCCGCAGTCCACAATGCTGACTGAACCGTTGTCCAGTGCCGGTGATACTCGACAGAGTGCAAACGGTGTGACCCAGGCTCAAATTGCCTCCAGTACTCCAGCATCACCTTCGAATTTAGCCGGTGCAATTCCTCGTCCGCGTCCCAGTCCGTCAATCACGGATAGACAGGTGAGTGGGAATCCGTTATGTTCCGCTACAGATGGTTGACGCACTGCTTTGTTCACATTTTTGGGAATAAGACGACTGTTTATTCCTTCTTCATAATGCCAATTCCCACTGGCTGACAAAATTTGATTTATTTGTTGTTTATTTCACTGATGGATTGGTTTGTCTGCTACTAAAAAGTTAATTTCATTCTTTCCAGTCCTTTGTGCTTTAATGGTAGCTGTGTTGTAATGTTGTTTGAATTGGTCGTTTCAATTCCGCTAGTTCTGGAAGAAATCTACTGAGATAGTTTATCATTCCATTGAATCGTGATACGCCTTTTGCATCGGTTGGGAGAGGAATTTCTACGATCGCTTTTACCTTTTCCGGGTCCGGTTTGATCCCTTCGCTTGTAAGTACGTGACCGTGAAAGCTGACTTCCGATTGACAGAAGATTAGTTTGTCCTGTTTCAGTTTGATTCCGTCTCGTATACAACGCTGCGAAAAGCCT